GTGTTCTTTCCACTGGCCCACAATGCCTTTCTAGTAGTAGTGCACCAGCAGCGACAGCTCCTATAGCCTCAGGGATGGCAGGACCTGCTCCAGGAGTTGACAGAGCATCAGACATCGCACAATTCCTCTCTGCCTCCCAAAGCTTGTGCTTTTGGGGTGTATCAGTCTATCAAGGGAAACCAAAAAGTGCACAAGAGCACAGAGGTTTCTGTACTGGTGGGGGGGAAAAATTAGTATGCTGACTAGAACCAAACTTTGATCCATTTTTCTAGCACAGAGGAGACCAAAGTAATACCGAACTCCCATCCTAAATGTATCTATACTCTAAATGGAGAAGACAAAACCGTGCATGGGGGTGGGTGGAGGGGACAGGACACGGGCGTGAGGTGACTCCCTCATGCTACACAGCACGTCTAGTCACTTCTGGAAGGCCTGGACAGAGGTTTCCTGGTAGTAGGCAGGAACAGCAACCCAGAGTGAGAAGCCAGGAGCTTAGAAGAGTAACAAAAATAATTCTGGAGAAGGGTTCCTTCATTTTGCAGCTTAGAAACACAGTGCTATCCACGTTGTCTCCTGCCAGCTGTGGGGCAAACCACAGACAGGAAGAAGCCGAGATGGCCCCTCCTGCTCCTGGTTTATTCTTAGGCAAAACGCTCTTTCGGTCCTGACGTCTTCCTGGCCCCCCAGGTCTGCACAAGCCCTCCTTGTTCTCCTGTTTGTTTTCTTGTTTTTCTTCCAGGGCCCGAGCAGGATTCTGCAACAAGTCGAAACAGAGCGGGAGGCTGCACTTCTGAGTTGCAAAGCAGCTAGACACGCAACCTGGGCTGGAGTTTGCTCTGTGCCAACATTAATCCAGCTGGAATTAGCCTGTCTGCCACATGCCATGCTGAACTGACAAAACTGGAGGGGGTGAGGAATGCAGGTCACAGAGAAAACACAGATGCAACATAGTGCCTTAAACAAAGCCCACTGACATCAATGCAAGACTTTTGTGCATTATCTTGAAGGCCCGTACAGTGCGGGGTCTAGCCACAACCAGGTACGATCAGAAATAAGCTTCCAGTAAGGCAACCAGGGATGCCAAATGCAGAGGACTAGGGCCACCCAGCTCGTCTATGCATGGGGTCATTCTGCAATATCCCTACGTGGATGAAGCTAACCCAGAACAAGGAGCTCTCTTTGGAGGAGTCAGGACATCCACAACTGGTTTTATTCAGGAATAGCTATGACACGTTGAATTCCCACAAGTTTTATTCCAAATAATGGTAACTTCCAGGCATACTTTCCATTTTCGTGTCCAGAGAGACGCCCTCAGGGAAAGCTGAAAGCAGCTGAACAATTCCCCTTCTTGACAGACATCCAAAAGCACTGCCCCTATTGATAATGGAGCTGAGCGGCTGTTCAGATGAAAGGATCTTCTGTTTTTTTCAGTACTTGTTAACCCCATGTTGCCACAAGCTGTGACTCAGGTCTGCCTGGGAATTGCTCAAGAATCATGAGATCTTCAGAAGATGAATCATAAGAGACACATCATGATAGTCATGGCTTTGCAGTCTTTTATTCACCTTTTTGAGCCAGCGCATTTTGGGTTGCAGGCTTCTCTCGGGCATGTTCTGTGTTATTTGGAGATGAAAGGTCTCACTGGGGATGTGCCTGTGGGACACTCAAAGATGTAACTGCGACCATAGCTGTATGGAGCAGCCCAAGCGAATGGTATACTTGCCAGCCGAGTGCCTTGTAGCTATGGCAGTGTGGAGCCCGGCACAAGCTGCAAAATCCACGCGACACCCTGGTAAATACTCAGGCAACAAGCCCAAGCTGCGCTCTACAGTACCATGCTTAAGCTCCTAGCAGCAACCAAGCAAGCTAGTTTTAAAACTAGATCAAGTATGTCTACGTGAGCTGCAATCATACCTCTGAATTTCAGTATGGACTCATAATCACAGGGTTCACAGGGCCTTAGGATAGATCACAAATAACTTGTGATCTGAAGAGTTGAGGGAGTTGGCAACAGCCCTCCGGACAAGAGATTTCCTAGTGCTCTGGCTGATGTTAAACGGTGTTAGCATTAAAGAGCCCTTGGGTTAATATTACGTGGTCGAAGCAACATCTCCGATCGTCACATCACCACAGGAATACCGCGTTTTGTTATTTTAACAATAGCTCTGGAGGGACAATAGCAAGCTGTTGTCTTCTTCAAGAGTCACCTCCAGTTTGGAGGTTGTCTATCACCATCTGCGAGGGTCGGATGGCAGAGCCGTAAAACATGGTCTCTCGTGGATACTACTCCATCCTTCTGATGTAGCTACGCTTATTTTCCTCCTCCTTCCTGGTTTTCCTTCCATCTTGTCTCATAGTATAAAATGCAGGAATTGAGCCATTTAGTGATGATTAGGGGAGGTGTCCACAGGAAGCGCTTTTCCTTGAATCATGTATTTCAAGCAGTATTCAAGCAGGATTTCCTTGAATCATGTATTTCATGTATTTCGTGCTCTTTCCAAGTTCATCTTTCTGCACAGCTCTTCACTCGTGGGTATGGAGATCTGGCTGATTTCCAAATTCTTTTCCAGCCCCAGAAGTCACAGGTCTGATTAACCTCCTAGCATTTTGTTGTATTTTTTTCAAGTGTCCAGCTTCCAGAGTCAACCACGGGAAGGCTGACCACATGTAGCATGTCAGGTAAAGTGTAAAATTACCTCTCCGTAACACAGAAGACAGTGAAGATACAGAATGAACTTTCTGCAACAATTACTGTTTTCATTTTTCTACCGCATTTCCTATCTGACATAGGAAAATGGCCTAGGTTTCTGTGCTTATCGGAATGCCTGCAGCGACCCACGTACAGAAACGTGTGTCACCCCTTGCTGTCTAGACAGAATCTTATACTTTGCTGCCTTTTGCTTAACTTCCTTGTCTTGCTTTTCTCCATCACGCCACAATTCTTGATGCTTTTGTTCAAGGCACTAAGCATATTCAGTTCTGCTGTAGTTGAAGCTCTGTGGCCCATCCTATGGTGTTATATAAACTCCATTAACTCAAATGACCTGCTTGTTATCTTCGAAGCCTTCTTTAGTGGTACCTTATGCATACGTGGTGAATGGGGACAGAGATAAAATTCAACCCTGGCAGATGCCTGCCTTTATCTTGAAATACCAAATATTTCATGTCTTACTCATATTGCCCTTGGTACAGGCTCTTTTTTCAAGAGCAAATCTTGTGAGCTGACACGGCAGTCTACAAGAATACACATCAGTTGTCATGTGGGATCTTACCAGATGCCATCTCAACAAATCAAAGCATAAAAGAACTTCTCTTTCTACTCGTTGGCAGAGCAGTCTCCCAGCGAGGATTGTTTCCTTCATGCCCACTCCTGAGTGGGAGCAGAACTCACTTTGGCTGGTTTGCAGAACAGCAGCAAATGGTCTCATTAACCCTTTGGTTTCAACAACACCAGAAGACAAGGGTTTAAAACACTGTCTCACAAGCACCAGAACCATTCGTAAGAGTCCACTGTCAGACACAACTCCACTTTTACCCCTTCCTGCCCTGGTCACATTCCCCCTTCTAAACACATGTTAAAGTGAGAAACGGCCAGTCTGCCTGTTACCTACTCGGCATAAGAACTGCAAGAAACAACGCGCCAACCCACCAGCTAGGGCAGTCCACTGCTCCAGCTGTGTGCGGGTGCGCGTGTAGGTCAAGGGACTTGCATGCATGCATGTGCACACAGGTAGGCAGGGGAGGGAGGGTAAAGACTGAGGACAAGGGATTTGCATGCATACACGTGTGTGCATGTGCAGGTAGGCAGGGGAGGGAGGGTAAAGACTGAGGACAAGGGATTTGCATGCATACACGTGTGTGCATGTGCAGGTAGGCAGGGGAGGGAGGGTAAAGACTGAGGACAAGGGATTTGCATGCATACACGTGTGTGCGTGTGCAGGTAGGCAGGGGAGGGAGGGTAAAGACTAAGGATAGGCGGGATTTGTGTGCATACATATGTGCATGGGTGCAGGTAGGCAGGGGAGGGGAGGGTAAAGACTGAGGACAGGAGGGATTTGCCAGACAATTTCCAATACATTGAGACTTCCCCAGAATATTTTCTTTTGGGCTCAACCTTTCCATGCTCAGCCTCAGACATTTTTATCTTAGAAAGTCTGAGGTGAATCTCCATCAGCTTTTGGAGGGGAAATAAAAGATACTCTTCCTGGGCTTTGGGTTGGGGGGGAGTTCATCTTATATTAGCTACAAGGTTTTTTTCCATGGAGCAAACACAAAAAGGACAGATTTAGCCCACTATCTTTCTAGGGCACTGGCAAAGTTTTTAAAAAGTTTACGGCCGCGTTTGGCAAAGCGGCCTTACCAACACTGCTATATCAGAGGTTTAATCTGCAGGCCTGAGAAAACACCCTGCCTCTACCTGTGTGACTGGAGGACCGCTGAGGAACTGATCTTAGGTTTTAAGCACAATTCGTGCAAAATCCAGTTGCCCAACCTCAGGGTGCCAAGTTTGTCCCTTCCTCCCTTGCTAAAAAAAAGAGCATGAAGTTCACAACCCTGAACCGACACCATTCGGGATCCAGTCTGCAGCCCTAAGCCGGGACGTGCAACTCTCCAAGCTCATGCCCTGAACGGAAACGTGCCAGGACCCGGGCCCGGCGCCAGGCGGAACCGAGCCGAGCCAAGCCTCGCCTCGCCTCGCCTCGCCTCGCCGGCCCCCTCGCCTCGCCTCGCGTCGCCGGCGGGGCTGGAGCCTCTCCCTGGGGGTGCTGCGCTTCCCGTAGCTCTTTGTTTTACGCCTGTTTCTATGGGCAGAGGGGGCTGTTTCTCGACAGCGGGCTAGGTGCGCGCTCCTCGCACTCCGGGAGCGCAGCCCGCAAGGCCAGCGCCCGGCATCCCGAGAGCTGGCGGCACCGCTGCTGGGAGGGAAGACCCGGGGACCCCCGAGGGCCCTGCCGAGCCCCGTGCGGGGTAGGGAGCCGGCCCTGCCCCGGGGCGCTCACCTGCGTGCGCGGCTCCAGCGGCTCCGGCTGTGGCTGTAGCAGTGCGGGCAGCGGCTCTGGCAGCCTCCCCGGGCCGGCCCGGGCAGGGCAGGGCAGGGGCGGCTCCAGCTCCGCCCCCGGGGAGGAGAAGGAGGAGGAGGCTCAGCCCGGTACAGGGAGGCTGGCGCGGGGCTCCCCTCCGCGGAGGGGGGAGCGGGGCAGAGACCCCGCACAGGGGCTGGCGGGCGATGGGGCCGCGCCGCACAGCTTGCCCCGAGGCCGCATGGGGGGGGAGGGGCAGAGGCAAACGAGGCTGCCAGAGCCCAG